CCAAGTTGAAATTGTCGCTTCTCATCAGCATTAAAGGGGTCGTCTAAACTCTTTGAGAAATGCTTCGAGAAATGGAGAGAATAAGGTGTTCTAATGTGTGCATGGCATTGGAGAGGTCTCCTGTCATCTTATTCAAATATACGTTCAATCTATGCCCTATTTATGTCCAATATCCTACCCGTCCATTTATCCTTTGCCCGAAGACAGACCTTTATGCGTTGTTGATAGCCACATCAATGCTTTACGAACTTGCTTTTCATCTGCTTCATGAAGCGATAAAACCTTCTAGGAATATTGCAACCTTACCTTGGCCCATTTGGGTATTGCTTAATGATGATCTTCATGCCAAATATCTGAATGTTATCTAGCTATTGTTAATTTTTCAATACATCAATTTACCAGCATAAAGCTGGTCTGATTATTCTATTTCCATAGATCTATATTTACTCGAGTGGCTTGAGTTGACAGAATTTATACGCATTCATTCCTCACATTCCACTTGCCGACTCCCCTTACCACTTTCATTCGAGACAACTTCACCTCGTTAGACGTTTTCATATTTTGATTAAACTGTCATGAACCAAAAGCCCTTGAGATTGTTCCTGAATTTTGATCATATATCTATCCACTCCTCGTCATTTGTAACCCCCAGCTGACGGAAAGAACGAACCAAAAGCTTCTCCATTAATTTCACACGACACTAGTCTAGCAGCCCCTATTATTTCTCTTTAAGGTGCCAACCTTCAATCTATGAAAGCAGAGGATCCGCATCAAGAGATCCGCATCAAACTTATTACGATTCATTAACAGATACAAGAAGAAGTCGGAATCTGTTAATCTTAAGGTTTACTACTTTTCCAGAAATCATCCAACTCTTATCTCAATAAGACGACTTTTCCATCTACCATTCTTATAACATTCCATATCCAACCTCCAATTTTCCATCTCGTGCTGCGTACCCGAAGATCTCAATTACGGGGTCCTTTTTAAGCTACAGCCCTATATCCAGATAGCTCGAGATACTTTAACTTCACAATCAATCATGTCCGACGCCGAACTCGACAGTCAATTTGTGCCAACTGGCAGGCCACAATCGTAGGTTTGATGGGTTTGGAAGCTGTGTTATGAGACTAATGGGTATTTAGTCAAATGGCACGATCATTCGCTCTCGCATTGGATGATTTGTTCAAGCTTGACAGCAGCGAGGACCTCGACGCTATAGTTTCTGAGAAGTATGGCCTCATAATTCTTGCATTCTTCCCAACAACACTATTTTCAACAACACAATGCTAAGATCATATTTTAATCTATCAGGAAGAATGAAATATCTACAAAAACATCCGAGCTCGAAGAACTCGAAGCCAGACTTAAAGCGACCGAGGAAAGACTAAAGGCCAAACAAGCAGCAGCAAGCCCCGGAAGCTTCTCGCCAGGGAACTCAGTTTCTCAACAACAGTCTACAAACGATCCTATAAGCCCTTTAGAACCAAAATTTGAAAACAATGTCGCACCGCGGGGTGTTGGAAGAAGCGGGGAGAGTCTCGCATCCAGGCCAGCTGCTCCAAAGCCAGAACAATCATACACAACAGCTCTAGCATCACATATTCCAGGAGCTCTACCACCTACCCCAGGTGCTAGCGAAGGTGAATACGAACTCGTTGATGGGGACAGGACCAGTGCTGACTATGTAATTGTTACAAAAGATGGAGATGTTCCACCGGCAGGTACCGAATGAATACTACCGGTATTATTACACAACTTCACATATTTAACCCCCTTTGGGTCGTCGTACCATTACCGTTATTGCTACAGCCGCATTCGTCATTCTCCGACTGGTGGATCATTCAATTATTTGACCACATTGTTACATTCCTGGCGTTACTTCCGGTTTTTGAACTCGACTTCGACTACATTCCCATCTCTGATTTTGGAATACGAACGATGGATATCAAGAGAGGGATTTGCGGGTTTTGCTTTGTATATACCATGGACAATTCCTATAGATAGGAGGATTTCTAAGCTTGGGATTAATCGATTTATAATTCACACGAAGGATTGTTGTGTCAAAAAATTGCTTATCCACATGGTTCCGTTCGAGTTTGCTTCGTTTCACAAGAGGCATCAGTGTGCCGCCTTTTTTGTACATTTCACGACAACATTTATTCCGTACATCACTCTTCAGTCAAGGCAACAAATTTCTAGCTTGTGTAACAAGACATTTTCAACATACGCTGGATGGCATACGTCGAGACTGGCTCTCTTGCACACGGAGAATCCATTGCAAGCCGAGTTATCCCTAAGTGAAGTCCAAAAGGGAAGTCTAATCATATGCACCAACCAGGCAACACGACTTTTTGATTCAAACTTCCTTTTTTGGTTGCCTGTGGTCAGTCTTTTAGTGTCACTTACTCAAAAAAGTGTACATCCTACAACAAACGACAGTGTTGTTGTACCTTGAAATATAAATCAACCATTTAGGTTGAATGGATCCTAATTCGGCGCTCCTAGTTGGGTGAATACGCGTTACTCGACTCGCGATTCTAATTTTTGATCCTAACCTTTTCATGAAGTAAAATAAACTGGAAAGTCTTTAAGTTTGTGTACTGACACTCAACACGAAAATTCCAGACCGTGCTAGAAATTCTAAATCTGGAACTAACCCTACAGTAAGACAAAACCGGAGGTTTCCTGGGAGTCATCACCTCATTGCGCATTATGAAGCGAGAGTAAGCCTTTCCTAATTATTACACTACCTAGGTATTTGAAACATTCTGAGGTCCGGTCCGAAAACAATCAGTCAAATCTCTATAGCACTATTATGTTTGCTACAATAAAGTCTCATTCGTGGATCAGTTCTAGGCCTTGGTCATGTCTTTACTGAAGAGAACTTCCTTTGCAAATGACATGCTGGCTCAAACTTTTTATTGGAAGATGAGATGCAAATATAGCAAGATGTCAATCCGTGGAAAATCTATCCCAGAAGGCCAGCAGCCATCCCCTCACCCCAGAAAACCGGATCAAATAAGATGCATTGTTCTAAAAACTTTACCACGAAAGAAGAAGTAAGTTATTATATTTATTTATCTTTAAGATTCAAACAGCTCAGCAGAAGAGAACATCCAACATATCAGGACTTCGTTATCCAAGAACCGTTGTTGTCAGACTGCGGTATCAGTTATCAGGAACTCTTCACCAATTACGTTTACTTCACATTGACTGTAAGATCAGGCTGCGTAGTTTCTCTTGCTACGTCGTAATTCAAAGCTGCGTCAGAGTCAACATTGCCGTGTTTCTGTCGGTAGCAGCAATTAGAGCAGCAAAGATACCACAGAGTCTTAAGAGGGCTACCGTTGCAGCTCTAAAGACGGAATAGTGCATTGTGTAAAGGTATAAGGATGCTCGATGAGAGATTTGGAGAATCTGTGATTCTGATCGAATATCCAAATGAGGGTGGTGATGGTAGATTGTTGGATGAAATTCAGTCTCCAGACGTACTTGGCTCTGAATGAGTGAAATAGATCAAGATGAAGATGACAAGTAGATTCGATTCAGTGGACTGACACGATGAGAGATTAGAAATACTCCCATTATATTGCATTTATACACAGTTCTTAGACAAACGAAATAGCACTATCTGGTTGCTAGGCTAGAGCGAAATCCAGAGCGCACATCGACATTTGCATTCCCCGAATTATCTACAATGTGATACTCGAAGATTTGATCGCGAATCCATCTTTGTATGCAAGGAGATTGCGGTAGCTTGAGGGTTGGTCTGTAGATATAATTTAAAGTGTTCCTTCGTGTTGGAATTGGTCGTAGCTGGTGGGGATCTAGACTCTGTTGGCCTCTTCACGGCAAGATTACATTCGGAGCTCGTGGGGCCGGGGTTTTCGCGTTTTGGGTTTTGGCATATTCTTCGGATTATTTGTCAATTTCATAATGTTAGGTTTTCCTCGGTGCGATTCGTTGGTCGTTTGAGATGGGTATGAAATTTGTTATGGGATGAGAGATATTGGAGAAAGGTGCTGGATTTGATCTTTACTTTTATGGATAAGTGCGATTATTTGTCTTGCCTTCTCCAATACAATCTGCTGCGTGAGCTAGAAATGCCAGCATGTTGAAGTTGTTTCAAGAGTACTTGCATGGTTTCGAAAAGATCCTACCTCGTTATCTACATTATGATGATCGGTGGTGAGGAAAGACAGGGTCTGGATCTATTGAAGGAGTTGAATTACGAGGAGACATGAATATGGTCTTTTGGCTGTATATCCGCTTGCACAATCTACCTTCGAAGATTCGGGGTTCTGCGGCTAACCCGTGGCCGTGTCAGCGGAAGGTTAGATACAGGTGCTGTCCTATCTATATCTCTCTACTTCGAAACCTGGAAAAATATTCGATATATGGGTAATTTCTTCGAAGATTCGCTTATTCCATCTGAGTCCGGGGACTTATAGAGGTACCATGCAGAGGTAGGTAATGTGGAGATTATCCAAAGGTTCCTCTACGCCGCAGCTGATATCGATGGAGTTGACAGATGGAATCGTGATCTTCTAGTGGTTGCGGCTCGATTCTGTCATAAAGATATGGTCGATTTACTTTTAAAGCGCGATGCTGATCAAAATGCTCGACGTTGCCTCCTTGGGAAAGTATGAGTGGGTTGTTGTGAGTACGACGTGAGTATCAATAGAGGAACTTTTGATTCAAGCTCTTTATGAACTGTTATCTCCTGTCACAAGTATAGTAAAAAGTTATTAGATTTCAAGGATATCAGTGCTGGTCTCATTTTATTTAAGCAAAGAATCTTCACGATGAAATAGTGAACTCCTTGTCCGATTCTTTCAACGAGCTCCTCATGAACAGTAAGAGAAGTCCTGCATCAATGTCATGTTGCAGCACATATAGGCAGACTCGGATGATGAATTCGCAGGTCTCGAGAACAAGGGGTGCTCCTTTATCGTTGATAGCCATCATTCCTAGTTGCAATGGAGCCGAAATGCTACATGTTTCCAGTGATTCTTGCTTTAGGATTTGGTATGACTATGGCAGCTGCAATCTTTCAGTGTGCATTCCGTTTACTTGTCCAAGGCTCAAATGAATGATAGGATTGACATGATACTTGCACCACGCTAAACGTAGGCTCTACGAATCTGATGAGTCCCATTCCTGCCCCTACAGAAACTCAAGTCGAGGATATCTATCCGCTCTCTCCAGATATCGCCCTGGGTATTGTTTCCCGAGTGCCTGTACCGGAGGAAGCAATGGAATTCCTGCTGCAGATGCGATTTTTAAACAAGTAGCACTAAACAGTCTTCGAGAAATTGTGTCTTCGCAAGACATCAATGCTTTACAAGTTTCTACTACGATCCTGGATTCACTAGACCTGACAGAACTACAATTTGACGAAGCCGCTTTTTCTGCCGCCCACGATCATTCTCGGAAAGGCTCTCTCTAAGTGGAGATATTTGCATTGGTAGTTGTTGCTTGTGAGGACCAAAGAAAGCCTATTTCATGAGGAGAGAGAATAGTAGTCAGGTCGCCACCATGTGATTAATCGTAGTCAACGACACATGGAGCACGAGTCCGACGCAGTTCCATACCACTTCAAGTGGCCGACCTGGACTTAGAGTAGAAACACCGAGAGAACTGCATGTAGGCATAAACTCAAATGCCTGCACCACGTGTAAATGAGTACAAATTTAGGTTCATGATGTGTACTCGGGACGCCGTTCGCAATTTATATCTGGAGTCACCTTCCTTAAGTATGGTGATGACAATCCATTTAACCGGCATAATGTTCTCGATTTGCACACATTTAATTGAATTTAGTCATACCTTGGGCTTCTCATTGGTAGGACCTGATTTTGTTGGGATCAATAGATCAACTTGGCTTCTGCATTATGGTGGGTGCACGTTGATTTTACCCCGCACTAGGGCCGAAGCTGACCACAAGCTGTGCCTCATAATAGAGTTACCCCTCTATCTTTCTCTTCTTCCTTTCTTTTCTCTTCTCTCTACACTCACAAATTCGAACTTTTCAACCTCACCTCTAACCACTTCAACTCTCAATTATCCTACTCGCCTCCAATCGATTCAGTATGTTCGATAAGAACCGAAGCGTGGCTCTCTCGCGCTATGAATCATCCTCAGATCAAGGTAACGTGTAACAAAGGCATGGCGGGTGTTCCAAATTCTGTCCATCTATGACTTCAAGTCAGCGATGGATAGAGTTTGGATCTGAGATTATACCGTACATATGAACTTGATCTAGATAATTCTAGCGAAAGGACATGCTTCCCCTTCCCTTCCCATGCGAGTCTTCTAACCATGTATTAGCTACCTGATCAACAGAATGTCGACTGATAAAATCACATTCTTGATGAACTGGTAGGCTACATAAATCTAACTGTAGCTTCAAGTGGATAGAAGAGCTCATTTGAAGCTAAGGAAACATCTAACAATTGTTTATCAATAGGCACGCAACGCCATATCATGCACCTGTCTATCTTGCTCAAAAGCTTGAATACTTCGCCGATGAAGGAATCAAGGTAGCTCTTCTCGAGCCTAATGATCCAAGTGGTTAGCAATCAAAGACTCGAATGGTTTCCTTCGAGTGGTAGCTAATTGACTGAACCAGATGTTACCGAAATCATCGGCTCCGAAAAAGTCGATATGGGTTTCAAAGCCATGATCCATACTCTTGCCGCCAAAGCTCGGGACTTTCCCGTGACCTCCATCGGATCCTTACTTGATGAGCCATTCACCGGAGTGGTTTATCTTAAGGATAGTGGAATTACCACCGACTTTCGCAGTCTCAAAGGAAAGAAGATTGGATATGTTGGGGAATTTGGAAAAGTATGCATTGTATACTCCTATAGCGACAACTATCTAACAATCTTCGGTCATAGATCCAAATCGATGAGTTGACCAAGCACTATGGAATGAAGCCAACTGATTATGAAGCTGTTCGTTGTGGTATGAATGTCTCAAAGGCTATCATCGAGGGAACTATTCATGCCGGCATCGGATTGGAAAACGTTCAAATGGTCGAATTGGAAGAGTGGCTCGCAAACAAAGGTCGCCCTCGCTCCGATGTTCAAATGCTCCGTATTGATGAGCTTGCTGAACTTGGATGTTGTTGCTTCTGTTCCATCTTGTATATCGGTGCGTCTTATAGTCCTAACACTTGGAGTATCTAGCTAATTTATGACAGCAAATGATGCATTCATTGCACAAAATCCAGAGAAGATCCGCAAATTCATGAAAGCCGTCAAACGAGCAACCGACCACGTTCTTGGTTCTCCATCCGATGCTTATAAGACATACATTGACATCAAACCTGAAATGGCTTCTGCTGTCAATCGTAAGATCTTTGAGCGCTCTTACGCATACTTCTCGAAGGATCTCAAGAATGTTAGACGTGATTGGGAAAAGGTCACCAAGTATGGTAAACGTCTTGGTGTTTTGAATGAAGACTTCAGTCCCAACTACACCAACGAATTCCTCGAATGGAAGCTTGAAGGCGATTCGGCTGATCCAACTGGTGACCAGAAGAGAATGGTTGTTTTGCAACAGGAAGTTGCTGACAAGGGTGGATTCAAGAGACTTGATGTTCAGCTTGTTGCATGAGATGCTTATCGAAGCTCTGATTGAGAAAGACCTTGCGTTCTATCCTGCTTTCGTAGATTGACAGGAAACACACTCGTTTATACTTATGTCAATGCATTATTACCAGTAAATACAAGTAAGACTATGTCGTTAGTAGCAAAAGCTCTGCATGTGACTCGTCAAATGTGATATGTATGATTTTTCGTATAGTCGACTCAAATTCTAGTATTTAATTTGAAATAAATCTATAGTTCAATTAATAAGTTCCTTGAAAGGAAACTCAATTCCCGCCTCTTGTTTCGGTCACGTAGAGCATGCATGCAAACTGTGACTTGCTCCTCGGAGGTACTCATGAACTTCCGTATCAACCATTGACGAAAATCGTCATGATGATACAGTAATGGAAAAGAAAGGGTCTTCCTGTATTCAAAGCAAGTCATGTGATCACCATAGAGGTATGCGACAATCAATGGTTCTAATGGATGACAATTAGTATATAACAATTCTATCCCACCGAACCACCCACCAGTGACCCCACCCACCTATCATCACTCCATCACCGAAAACCTACCCCACTATTTTCATACGCATACAAAAAAGTTTCTCTATATACTCTATTCGTAGAAGAAAAAAGAGACCAAAATCAATAAATTATATAACAAATCAATCAATAATGAAACTTTGAAAATTAATAATATTAAATAAATCCCTGAATAATTTTTATAATAAAATTATTTAAACATTTAATTCTTTAATTTGAAATGGGACATTTGGATTATTAATAGGCTTTACCAGTAGTCAATTCCAGCCTGTTTCTTTTTCCAACTTCAGATATTTAAATATCGTTCTCTTCTTCAACAAAAACAGTACATCATAACTGGCCTGCTGGCCCAATGGCAAGGCGCTTGACTACGATTAAAGGATTTCGTCCTGCGATTCGACATCAAGAGATTGCAGGTTCGATCCCTGCGTAGGTCACTTGAATTTTGCATTTTTTTGCTATTTTTTTATTGACGGGTACGGGTGGGGGGTGGTGATCACGGCCTTTTTATTTGCTTTTGCGTTTTGGAAGGAGACGAAGGGTGAGGGAGGGGGTTTTTGGCTTAAGAAATTGCTTTTTTTCTTTTACATATCTTTTGGAAGTTGTTTGGATTGGAAGGGGATTTTTAGGTGGGTTTTGAGAATGTAAATAAGAGGGGAGGATTTGAAGAATTTTGGGGGGTGTTTGGTTCACGTGGGGGCTTTGTTTGGGGAGTTTTGAACAATTTTCAACATTTCCTCACTTTGCATTCTATATCGGTCAGGGAATTTTTATTATTCAATTCAAAGAATCGCTCATTGTTCAAGTAGATCTAAATATTCAAGAGAATGATTAATCTCGAATGCTATACAAGAACTAAATATATATACAAAAGTTGTGTTTTCACAGCTAATCAATAGCTGATTTCTCACCAGAATTCCTTTTCACTTAAGCTTGAGTTTTCATGCCTCAAGTTCATCACTTCTCCACGTCAATCATTTATGCTGGGCATCCAGTAGATGGGTAGTTGCAAGTGGAAGCCTTTCCACCTCCAGAAATGGCAACATCGGTGAATGTGAAGTCGGAGCAAGAACCACTTCCGCAAAGGATGTAGTAGTTGTATGCATCATCAGTGGCGGTACCGGTTATGCTGGAGAAGGTAATGCCAGAGATGGTCACACCGTTTGTTGGTTTACCCGTCGCTCCACCGTTCAAGTAATCTTGTTGGACATCGATACCGTAATCGCTGATGTTGGACATCTTGATGTTGGAGTAGGTGACGTTCTCGATGGTACCGGTGGTTTCAGCGTTGGACTTGATGCGGCATCCGTTTTGACTGTTGGTGATGGTGGAATCGGAGAATGTAATGCCGGAAACGGTGTTGTTGGACTTTCCTCCAACGGATCCGATGGAGAGACCGTGGCCTCCTGAACAGGTCATTCCGGTGACGAGAATGTTGGATCCAGATGTGACGGCAACGCAATCATCTTGGTTCTTGACGACACAGTTCTTGAGGGTTACAGAGTCGGAGCCAGAGATATCGAATCCATCACTGTTGTGAGCGGCTGGGTCACCACCAGACTTTGAGTTGGGAGCATCTCCGGCAGAGTTGTCGAGGGTAAGTCCAGAGACGGTAAGACCTTGGGCACCGGTAATGTCGAAGCAGTGAGTAGGCCAGTTTTGGATGTTGAGGTTGGAGATGACACCGTTGACGACATCCTGAACGACGAAGAAATGATCAGGCTTGGCGCTTCCTCCGTTGGAACCCTTTCCATCCCAGTATGCAGCTCCGTTGCCATCAATAACGTGTCCTTCAGCTCCAGTAATGGTGATATCGGTACCCTTGACAACAATTGGGTTAAAGTCAGCATCGGCAGTGGTTCCGAATGAAGTAGTTCCGGAGAAGGTGACGGTGGATCCGTCTTGGAGTTTTTGAAGATCGATGGTGGAGCTTGCTGGAGCAGAGATGTTGTCCAAAACAATGTTTGTGCAAGAAGCAATAATTTCAGCAATATCAGCGTAAGCTGTAGCTGTGCATCCAGCTGGTGCGCTCGGGGCCGATGTAATGGCTGGGGCGCTTGCACCTGCAGAGGATGAAACGGCTGGGACCGGGACCGAAGTGCTGGCAACAACACTTGTTGTTGCTGCTTTGTGAGCTAGAGCAGAGACTGAGGCGGTGACAGATTTGACGTAGGAGCTTCGAGCGTATGAGCTGGCGGCTGCTGCACCTGAGCTAGCAGCAACTGGGGCGGCGGCGGCGCTTGAGGCAGCTACGCCTGAGGCGGCAGCGGCACTTGTGCTCCTCTAATGACGAATTAGTCCCCATTTTAAGGCATAGGTATTTCCTTTAAGAAGAGAGTACTTACGGCAACAGTAGCCAAGGTGGTTGCGACTTGAAGACAACTGCATGCGCTAGACAACTTCTTTGGCTTGTTTGCGCAAGCGGTAGCGAAAGCGGGAAGACCAGTGGAAGCTGAGTTTGCAGCTTGGGTGTAGGTAGCACAGAAAGGACCAGCTGCGGCGGAGGAAACGGTAAAAGCATTGGCACAAGCATCATTATCTGGGTTGTCGCAGGCGAGAACAATTGAGGCCAAGCCTCCGAGGATGATCGCAGAACGCATTTTGACCGGCAATTTTATGTTCAACGAATGTAATTCTTTTAATGGTAAAACGAAAAGGAAGGTATGAAACTGAAAAGAATGTAAATGTAAAGAGTGATGATACTTCGATGGGATGAATTCGCTTGGAGGATTTAGAAGTTATATACAGAAGCACAATGGAAGAAATTGTCTAATACAAGGGGCTATGTCATCAGACAGATACTCTCGTATACTACCGCTGGAGCGAGGAAATTACAGGAGGCTTTTCGGAGAATTGAATTGATTGTGAAGGTGCTCCCCAAAAGCATTGTTTAATATAAGTTGTGGAGAAACCACGGGTAAAGAATCTAATGCACTTGCATACATACACATTTGGGGACTTTTTGGGGGTGGGGATCCTGGTTCTAATTATTTGTTTGTATGGGGATTTGGGTTTCTCTTTCTTCTGAAAAGAAATTGTAAGACCATATTATTGGTAAATTGACAATGTACCCCTGATTTCCCACAACCGCTGATGGGAACCACCATGTCTACAGCGTACGCGTAACTTATCAAAATGCTACTCTACTTGAAATGCCGGTACTGGCTGTGCTGGTTGTGCTGGCCATTCACCAGACGTTAAACATCGCCAATCTCACACGCTCGAGATCTACGCGTACGCTGCACACAAGAGATCTTGATTGAACACCCGACTTGGCTTTCATATATATGATCTCTTGCGTGAAGCTTGTGTAATGCTTAAGCAAAGCTTCGAAAAGGCTTGAGAGGCTTGACAGGTCTTGGTACGTTCGTGTAACAGATGTGTGATTATGTTCCCCTTAATTAACGCTGGCTCCTTCGATCCGTCATGTATGCCAAGTCGCTCACGCGCTTGATGTTGGTGATGAGAAAGCTTATTAGAGTAAGATTCGAAATGATGGTTCCGTTCTTTCGTTCAGTATTCGGGACCGATCATCGTTGCGCTGCGTATGTATGGTAAATAACGGTTATTTGTCAAAGCATTGATGATGGGATATTCTAGAATTGGTTTCAGAGCTCAATCTGGATATTCAGATAGCCCATCGCTCAATTGAGACTCGCACTTGCGCAGTCAACCCAATTTCAACGATGGCTCTTGTTTCCAATTGATGGATTGGATGGTTGAGTACAGGGGATACGGGAGGGGACGTACTTTATTAATCCTATTGATGTTCCACTACATTCCACCTTTAATATATTTCGTACAAAAGGAGAATTTTCCCCATAACTTTCTTTGCGGACATTTGATTTTATTCTCCATTCATATGTAACTTACAAAAAAGTTCCTTTATCTTATCAATCCCTTCCGGTGATGTCTGAAACCGTCAAATCGTCGTATCTAGTACGAATTACATAGTAGTTCTAGAGTCATGAGGGTCATTAGGTTCATTAGGTTCACGGAAGCATTGCCTACCTGGTTGTCCGGTATATATTCTCCAGATGCACTGTGTTTTCATGATTCATATCAATGTATATTGGTAATTTTGTTGTTACCAAAATTTACTCACGTGACACTCAATGTATTCCATTCCATGATCCATTTCGCTTCAATATCGGAAACTTCCCTGGGTATACATATGGCCCTCTATATAATTTCTCATTAAAAGGGGCTCTCAACCCCTCAGTCCTCGTCGCACTCGTTTCTATCTTTTCCTCATAATCATTGTTTCTTACAGTATACTACATACCTGCTAGTATTGTAGGAAGGTATCTGTTGAAGTACTGATCAACTATCTTCCAATCTTCACCAGTTCTCACAATACTTGATACAACATACATCAACGCGCAGCTGAGTTCTTTCTCACCGTTTCTTTCAGTTCACAATATGGCCTTCTATCAAAACAAATTCACAGTATCAGCTATCAAACACGGTGGTCATCGAATACCATGCCTTGATCCTTCCAAGCACGTTCGTCGCTCTCCTGCAGATCGCAGGCCATGAAGTTCATGGTAAAAAACAATTGAAAATGATGCACTTCACTGTGTTGTGCAATTTCAAAAGTTCTGATTTGTACTTGTTTTGTTTCCTATCTGGGTCTCATTTTCATTTCTCTCCTACTGCGAATAATAACGCTTATGGAAAACATTAATATTCAATTCTCACTTGATACCAGACTTGTGGCCCTTGTTTATAGTCACTTAAACAATTAAACCAATATCCTCTCCGAAATTTTCTTTGATACTAAATTCCATTCACGAAGATAGTCTACATGCGGGGGACTTTAGACTCAAAATAAACTCCTTTCGACCAAGTCATTGTTAAATCTGGCAATGTGTCACACGAACTCTTTGTCGATAACCGACATTCATTGTCCTTGATATACTATTTTGAATCAACTTTGCGCGTCCAGTATGTTTGCTTTCAAACTTTTTGGGCAAAATTTCGCATCTTACTTCAAGCGTAATTATCGTATTGTCTAATCGATATGCCATTCCGTCAGGCTCCAGTAGGACTCTTTAGTCCATTGACCGCTGCGGAGATAGTGGAACTTAATACAGTTATCAACCCACCTGTTCCTTTTCCACCATATGCACCACTCCGCGTCCAGGTCGCTCCGGATAATCTTGGTCAGGCAGGGAAAGTCACTACACCAGATGAAATCCTGGTCATTGCTGGTTGGGACGGGCCTGGGTATGCCGGAGTACCTGGGAATCCTGTTCCCCCTGGTTCATGGTGGGTACCCACAGCATATGCAGTAAACAAATCTCTTCGATTGCTTTGCGAAAGAGTGAACTCTCTCTGTCCTCGCCCGGCAAATGGTGTAAATGATATTCCCTACTGTGCATTTATTGGAGCAGAGCTTTGGTTGCCACCTCCAGGGACGTATCCCGCGCAAACTATTCGTGACCCGGCCACATGGGATGTACTAACTCAGTCGGTTTATAATGTTCGTAAGCTTTTTCGGTATTTCACTATCATTCATACTTAAGGGTGTTCTCTGATCCCAAGCCCTGCTTTCCTTCCTGTTTCACAAATTACATTTCTTGTTATCCTGGTCTGGTCACAAGTACTCATTTCTCGTATCGTTAAATATTTTCCCCAGTAGACAGCCGCTGACAATCTGACTATGACAGACATCAGGCTTATTCATGGCGGTCCAAGGGGGAATGTTAAACGGTCTCTTTCGAGTTACTGATAGGATGCTGCATTCTCACGAAACCGCAAGATCTAGAACGCTCGCTGCTCAGGCATCTCATATATTTATGCAAGTGGTTCGTAATTAGTTCACAGATTCTAGTACCAGATGAAAAACCCACATCACTTATTTTGTTCTCTTCAGAATCTTTTCTAAGCAAATAATTGCTCACTTTCTAACTATGAGCAGATAGATGATCGATTTGGACCAGGATACAGGCATCATACACTGATAGTAATTTCACCCAAACGTAAAACCATCGACTATCTGGACGACTACAACGGACTTCAATCTACCAGGCCAGACCTCGTTCCTCCACTCCCACGGCACTATATTGCCGAACAAAAGCTTATCGGCCATATCTTGAACTTCCTTTCATCCTACATAGGAAGTACTTCTATAAGCGGAAACGAATTTAACCCCAAACATTGGATGATGCGAACCAACGCATCAGCTCAGAGTCCGATTCCTGGACCCGCAGCTGTGATAGACGCACAAATCAGTGCTGCAATGGTCTGCTACAATGCTCTCATGATCGCAATGGGATATCGTCTCGACTTTTTCAGACACATTCCCGCTGGCATGACACAAGCTCAGATGATCGCCAATCGCCGGGGACAAATTGCGCTCGAACTCCATCGAGGCCAGCTGGCTGTCGCCCCAAGTCGTCAATACATCGCACCCATGTGGCCGGAGCAAAGCGACAATTTTCGATACACAAGCGGATCTACACCGTTCAAAAATCTCATCGCCAAGCATTGTAATTACGGAGTCGTGGAAGAGCTTTCCCGTCGCGATCGCGCGAGATGGTATCGAGGTGTGCCGCCGAAAATCGATTTCGATATCGGTCGTAGGATCACGAAGCCTAATCTTATACTTTATGGTCTTGCGAGAGGAATTCCCATACATAGAATGCGCTACGTATCGTGGGGTCCGTTGCGGAATATCGTGGAAAAGTTTGATTATATGGCGAGAAGGCAGGCAAATGGTAATCTAGCTGTGAATCCTCCTTCTTACTAATGCATCTGTGGAAGGATTTTGTCATTTCGTGGTTTCTAGATGCGTTTGTTGTTACTTCGTGTATTTTTTTGAAGTGGTTTAAAGGTCAAACGTTTCTGTTTATTGATGATGATTGTTCCGGGGGTACATATGTGAATTGCTAGGTAATTTATTTAACTGTTGATTTGCAATCATCTATCTACCTCGAGTTTTTGATGCTCAAATCTATATATTTGGAAGACCGTCGCTATGATTACTCCTAATCCAATCAGCGTTTTAATCAGTATTTTCCATATTTCAATTACATCTTACTTTAGTAGTACATATTGGTCTTCATGAATATATTCCAATAAAAATTATTGAATTCGAATATTGCTGACAGTACCTAGGTATTCAAGAACCCAGCTATATCGAATATGCTCGTAATATCCTGAGATACAGAAATTGAAATACTTCAAACATGAATTAATGTATTTTGATAGCTCTCCCTCTCTTTATTAGGTATAAATTGATTCGATTCTTGATAATATAGGCTCCAATTCTGAAGTATGTACATTCCGGTGTTTCGATATCTTCAGTGATACCCATTTTGGGAAACATTTGGGACTGTAGATATTTGGTTTATACTATACACTATAATACGTATTTCAGTTGCAACGTCAGCCATAGTATTACTACCCTATACACATCACAACTAACTTTATATCCGTCCGTAATATCAGACACAGTTATCAGCGACATGAAATCAAATCGATGAAAATCTTACGTCCTGTATTTCAATCTGAATTTAGGGACCAGGATATGATAGGGAATGGTTGAATATTCATTATTATTGATATTCTGAGCTCTTGTCATATTCGATTGAACACTGCATCATTTTACTTAAAAGAATCGTCTGCGTCGAAATCTACGCGGGAAGCTTGTCATGTTCTCCTATCGCACAAGCGAGGATATGTTCGGTAATAGGGCAGCGTGTACCTACGACTCATTAGTTTGTATTACTTGAGTAATTTGTTGAATTCTGTGCATTTTAGAGCTAGTCGAAACCTGGTCGGAAATTTTTATCTACTCACTCTGTAACTATTTTCATCGTAGAATAGAAGGCATACAGCCTCAATGTGAGATGTAAAAAGGCCCGAAAAATGAATCAAACACATCAACTACACAAACAAATCCCCAGTCGCTCAAAACACACTGAACCAACCAAATAAGCTTACAATAACAAACCCAACGATGAAAAGTCAAATAATGATAAAAGTATCAAGATCCCCAACAGTCTCTCGAAACGAAAAAAGAGTACAGAACACCTTTAATCTAACCTAAATCCTGCTAAACTTACACACCATCTCAGTCCAATTCCAATCATTTACTACGACCCAAGCCAAGAGCCCTTCCAAACTTCTTCAATGAACTCTTCTTCTTCTCTTCCTCCTGTACTCGAGGAGCGATCTTATCGAAAAAGTCATTTGATGAAGGATATCGCTCTGAGTGTTGTGAAGGATTTCTACGGGTTTCGCCTGCTGGGCTCGGATCTATCTTATTAGTTGCATAGTAACGACTAGATTTCGACTTTTGTTCTTTTACCGGCTCTTGGGGTGTACGAGCTGGACGTCTTTTATCTCCCCACCATTCTTCACGGATGTTACGTTCCGGCGGTCGTGTATTTCCTAGCCCGTTGGTGGGATGAGCTCGAGGGCTTGGGTTGTCTGATATTCTTCTACCCACGCTTTCCCACGTACTACCTGGCGTTTCCTCTGAATTTGAAGGTTTTTTGAGAGACGCGAAACTGAATTGTTTTCTTGGTTCGTGTGGATTTTCATTTCCATGGTAGCGCGGTTGCCGATTCGCATGTTCCCTCGAATGTGCCCCTCCTGATTGCGCTTTAGCTCTGACTGGTTTCCGTTTAATTTTTGGTCTCTCCTCCTCCACATCACCATCCAATTCTGCTGCCTCTTCCTCAGGGTGATAGACTGGCTCTGTATGAATGTTAAATGCTTGAATATCTATTTTGTAATCAGAGATTGGAAATAACTTACTGTTGATCTGGACCTTGTTTGCCACGTTTTTAGGTATTTCCAGCGGACTGTTCGAGTACTTCATCTCGTGGGATGATACTGAGTTCGCGCCAGTGATTTTATGAGAGTTTGTACTTGTATCTCTCTTAGAGATTTCCTGACGACTTCTTGACCTAGCTCTCCGTTCGTGATCAGGAGGTATAACCTCCTTTGCTGATCTTACATGGTCCATTTGCGGGATAGAGTAATTGAAAACGTCATTATCTTCGTAATAGTCTGGTACCTCTGATGGGCTTTTAGTCGGTTTGACCTCCTTTCTCAATCTTTCAAAGTCTTTCGGTGGGATGTGGTGAGTGAAAAGGTCATTTTCATCATAATACTTTGGTATTCCGCTAACCGATCCATCTCTCTTGGAACGAGTTGATGACGCTTGCGAAGATGATCGTGGTTTCTGACTCCGATCTCGATTTGCCGAGGACGAGTTACTATGCAAATCATTCCTTGTTCTACTTCTAGTGGTAGCATCAGAACCAGAACCACTCCTACTTCCCCCACTTCTACCCCTAGATTCTGTCCTCCTACGGGTATCATTTCCGCTCTGATATCCATCACTATCACTACGATACCCACTGTTCGTACCTGATGACACAGGTCTGCGGTGGGTTGGATCAATGCTTACACCAAAGGGTTTGAGGAGACTTGCTCGTTCTGAGCTAACATTTCTCGAGACTGGAAGAGCATTTGCTGATCCCCGACCGGAAGAGGAACCCCCCCTTGGTAGAGAATGCGTACTGGATGATTCGCTGGACCCACGTGAAGGCATTCTAGAGAACAATGTAAAGAGATCCCTGAATATTCCCTAGAAACTCCGAGAAAATATAAACTTTTTCTATAAGGTTTCATAACCCTTAAACCCATAGCCCAGATAGCCCAGATATCTAATACCACCAACAAGGAAGACAACCACTGCACCGCCATATCACAGGGTCCGAGGATTTTCCCCCGAGGACGATGTCATGAGGACCGACCATACTGAACGTAAAAAGTTACTTGAATTCATCCTTACATTCTCGGCGTGCCTACAGAAACTTGAGAGAACAACTCGGTTGTCCATCATCAGCCCCATCCGGCCGGTATCTCTTGGTCGAGTCCGGCCCGAGACCCACGTGATAATTGACTATATTACCGCGCGCTTGATATGCGTTCATATTTTGATGTCCGTATGCAGACCCAAGAACCACCTCATTTTGATGTGTCTTGATTGGAGTGGTCTGAGAAATTAATGAGATAATTGGTGTAGTATGGAAGAGGCTCAAAGAGAGTGTAACCTGGAGATCAATGCTCCACGCTCCACGATCACGATCGCGATTCTCTTCTAGAATAATCCTTCTCGTAGAAGTGCGGGCATTGCCTAGGTGGTTAGAGGTCGCAATTTGTGATCTTCATAAACAAGAGCACATTCTCGTATATGTTGCGATCAGACGAACTGCGCACGAGGTGAACGTATCGCTTCTCATCAACTTGTATGCGAGATAAACATAGCTGTAGTATGCTTCTTATCAAGTTGTACCTCACCATGAACGGAAATTGTGGATAGGCTTTGCAATTTTCGCATCTGTAAATTGATAGAGTGGAAGATTGCAGCATTTATTCTCCACCACTAGTAAGTCCAAGCAAGAAGAATTCAGGAATATGGCAAGCAAGTTAAACCCGCTAGAGAAATAGAAAATGTGGGAAGGCTTCATGGTCCTACTTGTACAGTAGCCAACATTAGATATCAAGAGAAATATCTCGATTCCATAGTCTTTTTAGGACAGTCATTACAATGCAAGCCTCAGTATACCTACAATAAAGATAAATAAATTGTCGCAAGCAAAATGAGATGGCAATATACGCTTTAGAACCAAAACCAAAACCACTACTACTAAAATTTACATGTAATATAAAATTGAACAATCCCAAAGTGTGAAATCAGCCTACCTCCTAAACACTGAAGCCAAATTGAACAACAAATGTCCTATATACCAAAACCCTTTTGTATCTTCCCCTAACTCCTGAACCACAAACCCAAATTCAATTTAAGATCTCAACCCCCCAACCCTCTCATCTCTCTGTTCTCTCCACTTTCTATAATCCTCACTAACCACCACCGGGATCCCCATTCCCCTTGGCCACATCCATCTTCCCTCTTCCTCCGAACTCCACACTTTGATCATACCTTCGAACGGGGGCTCGTCCCCTTCTTCCGGAGAAGGAGGAAGTGTTTTGTTCAGAAGAAAATCATCCTGTGATGGGTCATTACTCTCCATATTCTCATATTCTTGCATCTGCAATCTTCCCCTATTTAACCTATATTTCCTAGGCGGAACATCCATAAAACCCACATCTTCTTCATCCGAATAATAGTCTTCTTCATTTACTAGTAACGATCTCTTGACCTCGTCTTGTTTTTCAATTTGTACGTATGATGAGCGCCCAAAGGCTGTGGATGTGAAGGCTGTATTTTTTGGAGAGGGGCCTGAGGACAAGGAGAGACATGAACCCATTTTTGAAGAGGTAGATATGGATGTCGAGGAGTTGGGATAGTAGTTGGAGTGGGATCTGCGGAAGAGGGTTGTAAGGAGTGAAGACATGTATTGAGATGAGAATCGGTATGGAGAAAGAATGGAGAAATCAAATAAATGAATGAACTACATGAATGAAATGTAACAACCACAACGAAGTAGCAGCAGTCTGAATGACAAGAAATCTACGCGCAGAAAAAGATCTCAAATATTAACAGCTACTGAAAAAGTACCAGACTTCAGATACCTGAAAACACAAAGTAGGAAAATAATTGCAAACCAGCAAATTCACACCAAGCATTCTGATTCTAATATCATTTAAAAAGGTCAATTCCAAGTATGTCCAACAGCATCAGGAAGTCAAAATATCTCTCGTTTGTTGGAAGCGCGAAACGGAGGCTGAGCTTAACGCCAACCATGAAAGAGCCGCATTGAATCCTGACCCGCCCATAACTTAGGCAATCATGGTTATCACCGACCATGATGACGGGAGATGAAGATATCTGTAACCTACATGGATTTGTTGGTTGGTAGGATGAATACATGCTTTGGGGATTTGCTCGCACGGTTATAGAAGTTTTTGCGGGGGTGGGTATCAGACATTAATATAATACTACCTAGGCAGAGACAACGCCTCTCATAACTTTGACGCATGGATTAAAGGTCAACTTCGATATGATCCTCCTCGAAACCAAGAAAGCAGAGTGGGGAAAATGAACTTTATCGAAAAACCATAGTTGAGGATGGCTCTTTTGAAATGAAGACATAATGAAAACTGGCAAATAAAAGGGCAAGTAATACATTGACGATTGTGGAATTCTCAATGGTATCTAGCTTACTTCCATTTTCAACAATCAATATATTCTCAATATGTTCTCATCATATCCTGGTCATGGTTCCAGGTTGTGCTGGTCGTCGTTCGTTTCGCAGTATATCCCTACAGCTCATAGAATTTGCCGTTGTGTGGAATTGTTCTGTATGTTGCCTGCCAAAGATCTTAATGTCCACCATTTCCCTTGGACTCTTTCTCTTCCTTTTGTTGCTTGATCATAGCATCGATCCTAGCATAACTTACAATCCCCTCAACCAAACAGCTTGCCATCCATTTCCACCACAAGGAACTTCCTCTCTCGACATTGTACTTCGAGAGTCTGCTCCTATCCATCCAAATGACTTCTATCACATGTAGCGCTAAAGTCGGCATAGTAATTGTTTCAGAGATCCACAAGAAAGTTTCTGGGCCGCCTGGGAACCATCGCAACACATTGTCGTAGAAGAATGTACCGGGTACAATGTGCGATTTCGTAAGAAATATAACCATCGTCATTAAACACAAGCCGAAGACTAATCGATGGGAGAAAAACTTAGGGGGCTCGTATCGAGTAATGGTATATGGGGAGATGTTGAGAGCATCATGGCACTCGGAATCCATAGCAACAAATCGAGGTCGAGCATCGGCGTAGGAAGTCATGGGAGGATCAAGGGGAACCGTGTGAGTTTTACCGGACTTGGAAGAGATTCGGAGTGAGGAGAGGGTGATATCGAGAAGGTTGGGTTTGGAAACTTCGCTTTTGGAGAGCTGACAGTAGTGCTGTAAGTAGTGGGACAGAGAACCAGCATGGTCTGCGTTCATGTGTTTGATGATGCGAGCTTTGGTAGCAGCATCTTTCTCGGATGAAGCCATGATACTCAGATCAATCAGGTGTGCTGGCAGTGATTATTGAGATCTATGGAAGATTCAAAGATTTAAGGAATAACAAACAATGCTGTCTTGTGGAATCGTGCAACCTGTTCTGAATGGAGAGCTCGAGAGTAATAAATAGTCGATGTTCACGGTGAAACCTCGGTTATAGTCGGGCCCCAATGATACGCCCTCTGTGTTTGTGTTTCGGTTTCCGGAGTTCCTGTTTACTTGCGGACAATCCATAGGTCACATAGAAACTTGCAGGAAAGATTACACAGCGAGGTACTCGCCCGGTATGATATGATTATCTCGTTAAATGGAGGACTTAGCCTTTCTAAAACCCCTCCATAACACAGACCTGCTTTGCTATCGTAGCATTCTCAACAAAATTGGGCGTGAAAATCCTTTCTAGTTAGATCCTCCTGATGTTCTGTTTCTGTCCTCATTGCCTCGTTCCATTTCAAGGAACTGTTCGAGGAAGAGATGAATGTGTTTGTCTGTTTGTGTAGCCATGGATGAATCACACAGAGGATATATTCCCAACAATATATCTTCATGATCGACGCCAATTCCCAACTCGAACTAGAGAACAGCTTCGAGAACAGTTTCGAGAACAGTCTGCAAATTTCCGTACCAGGTCAACCTGGCGTTGATCAATATGATTAGCCTCCACACAGTTGTATCCTGGGGCATATGATAATATTCTCCAACCAAAAGCTGACGACTAACTACCCACCCAACTCATAAGTCTCTCGACACAGTTGTAACTTGTAAACGTGCCTCAATCTCTTGTACAGTTCCAAAATACGTCGTACCTCATTGCTATGGTCTCACACACACGTGGAGGAAAGAGAGCCAGGTACTAAGAAAGCAGGGCTCCGTCCCTGACAACTTGTTACTTCTGCAGTCTGTGTGTGGTTCCCCTGCAGCTAGAGGACGGCATGAAATTAGTGAGAGTGGCTTTTCGACTAATAAGCTGCTGGGTTGTTGGATTCGTTATCCGAACAGGGGGGAAAGTGTGCCGATGTGACGAAAGTGAGTATCTAAAAGCCACAACCAAAAGGGTTCTCTGATTGTTCTTTCTGTAAATTTCCATATACGAGTCCCAAGAAGTGGATAATAGAAAGGAATGGGCCACCAGTGGCGTCCAAGAATATGTATCACTTTGGGACGCTTAGCTATGGGTGTATATAGCTACGAGAAGATAGTATAGTTTACCATCCAGTAAGTGCCTACCTCGAGGTACAAAAATGGATCAGAGTAGCAATGGGCGGGCAGCAAACAAAATGCAATCCAACGAATCGGAATATCCAGCCACCAAGGCAACGAGCGACCAAACGAACGAGTGTATACTACAGGAAGTATACCTAACTGCAACGGAGCAATGGTACTATCAAACTGGTTACCAGAAGATACTATTGAATAAAACAGCCTTGAACACCGGTGTATATGATACAATGCACAAGTAGATATTCAGGGGAAGCACTTTTAGGATCCCGACATCTCAGACCAGTCCAGAGTAATAATAGGAAGCTTCGTTCTTCCATAATACCTCTCTCCCTGATAGATGTATCATAATAGCTTTATTTAACTATATGGAACAATTATGAATCATAGACGAGAACATCAATGGCGAGACAACAAATCAAAAGGAAATTCATAGAAATTCGTAATACAAATCGTTCAGCCTTGTGCTCTATTATAGAAATCGATCCCAAGTGATTCTTTCATTCGCTGAACACAAATGAGTGTGATAAGTGCATACTTCATCAAAAGATATCAAAGATATAATTTCCAAATAATCACCGATTTGCATCATCTGCATTTTAATCAATGTAATAATAAATCTTCGTCTGAGCGCACATTACATATACCTAGAACCATAACGATTACCCCCTTCCAAACCTTACCTAGAACACTTACCCCGACCTTGAAGAAAAAAAAGTTAATGATATTGACATCGAGATCAATTACTGAATTCAGAGACTTGTTTGACCTGAATCCTAAAGTCTATTACTCTATCATATTCAAGTCCCTCATTACCACTAGGCCAAAATTATCGACTCCTCGTTACTGATCCTTGACTTCTACCGCTACGATAAGGTACATACTTCAATATTCTACTAAGAAATATCAACAACGCGAAACCAAAAAAATTAAAGAAGAAAATTCTCCTGATGAAGCCGATTTCCTCCCATCTATCGCCGACATACCTTTGCTAATAGCTTCGTCGCGCCGTCCACCGCATTCCACATTCTTCCCAATGCGCAGTTGATAATATGCCCTGGCAACCTCTTCCACGCATCGCATTCGCCGTCGCAACATACCCATTTGTTGCTTCCTCGCCCGCAGATCTTCCACTTGAGCTTGGAGATGAATTATACATAATTGAACAAGGTGGGAAAGATTCACAATGGTTTCGAGGATATTTAGTAGCTCCGCCCAACCTACTGGCTGGCTTGACAAGTATAAAAGGGCAGACTCTTGAAGCTAGGGTCTTCTCTGGAATATTTCCAACGAGTTGCGTAGAAGTTCGGGAAGTCCTAGGAGATGATGAGGGTGAGATTCAGGTTTCTACGGAGGATGGAGACATTGCCAATGGGTACGGATCAATGAATGGCATTTTTGCAAAGAAAAGCTCTAGTTCTATCAATGGCGCCCAGATTCATCAGCACAATCGATCCGCAGATCTCAACGGCGCAAACGGACACCCTACGAAGAAGAAACCGAAGAGCAAGGCTTTTATTAACGGAAACACAAGTAAATTTTCAATTGTTGCGAAACGAGAACCTGGCGCACCAAAGCCACCAGCTCCAGTACCTATGCTGAAGATCGGAGACGAGACACCAACATCTGCCTCTGAACCATTAGTGGACGAAATTGCATCTTGTTTAAGAGAATGGCACTCTACAAATTTGCATGAGCTCTTGCTTTCGAGACAATATCACAAGTTGGATAAGATGTCAGCCTTGGTCAAAACTCTGGATCTTTCAAGAAGGCAAATTCTGCATAATGTCTGCACCAAGCACGAGCTTCGGTCATTGAGGGAGAAAACAGTATGGGATCTGGTGAGGGGGAACAAGTTATTGAATGGAGAGGTTATTGTTCGGGATACTGCTGCCCACGGTAGGGTTCTCACAGGTGATGATTCGGCAGTAGATGTCACCAGACTTCAATCTATGATGAGTTTGTTGGATGAAAAACCACAACTCTCGGTTCAGAACGAGAATCTGGTGCTCTACCATCTTTTGTTGGACGTGAAGGCTTTTGTTGGGGTGTCTACGGAGTCCACAACTTT